AATGCCTTTGGGACATCTCAGTCACTGGAGCCAAAAGAATGAACTCTCCTGTATTACTGCTTTTATAAATAAAGTCCCCAGATGCCTTTGGGACATCTCAGTTACTGGAGTCAAAAGAATGAACTCTCCTGTGTTACTGCTTTTATAAATAAAGTCCCCAGTTCAGTATTTTAGTAATTTGTCTATAACAAAGTTACAACCACCTTTATGAAGAATCACATTAAGTTGTGAGGCCACTCTGAACCAATGCAGAGCTCAAGGTCTGAAAAAAAAATCAAACAACACTCCATCCCTTCAGGAAAGAAATCCTGTAACTTTTTAATTACTAGGAGAAAGCTCATTTAAGCATAAAAGTAGACTTCAGATGCATAATGAAGAGTAAGTGACAAAACCTTGGATCTAATCAGATTTCCTTCCTGTCACTGCAGAGACCCCTGGAGAAGCCGGACGGCCTGGATGTTTCAGATCAGAGCAAAGAACATCCCCAGCATCTGTGTGAGAAGTGCAAAGTTTTGGGCTACTACTGCCGCCGTGTGCAATAAACTTTCAAAGTGGCCTCTTCCCATCCCCATCATCCTTAAAGATCCTCTGGCAGCATGCGATCAAGAGCAGCACAACAAATCAAGATAAAATCTCAAATAATTGCCAACATTGCCTATCTAATAATATGCCTTACCATTAACAGAATGTAACATTTCTCCTGTGCATGTGCAGCATGCAACAGGTGTTTAAAGGACTATGAACTGTATACATATATATGTAGATTTTTATATATATATGTACACACATATATAAAGTGTTACTGATGGTGTTCACAACAGAACTATGACTATAGGTTCTGCTGATTGTTTACACAGACCCTATATCCAGGTGAAATGAAGTACTATTCAATAGGCAAGTACAATACTCACAAGGAATATATGTTATATGTATGGCTATTGCAGAGGTTAAATGACTGTGGGGCCACTAATTGCAAGCACTCACCCACAATATGAACATTGTTCCTATTACATGGCAAGACAAAGGAAGATGAAACAAGCCACAGAATAGAGGGAGAATTACTGTTTTCCCAGTTTTAGAAAGTCCTAGAGTTTTGTGCTGCTGATATCTTGGACTTTTTCTGTTACCATCTTTTGGGCAGGGCTTAGACAAAATCATTTTTGCAGGATGTAGCAAAAAAAAAAGTGAATAATTGTTTGAGGGTGTGGGTTGGGTAGAAAGCAAGTGCCACAATGGGACCCAGAGCATCCTGAAGGATTCCAGGAGGGTTTTGGAGGAGACAAAATTGGCTTGCTTGTGCAACTAACAAATCCTTCTCTTGTCAAATAATCCCACTGAAATGGTCCCTATATGTGTATGGCTTGTTCATTAGGCCACAAGCACACTAAATCTACTATGAATAAGGAGATAAGAATACTTAAAACTGTTCCCAAAACACTTAATTGAAATAATAGCCAAACTTACTATTTATAGTAGTTTTAAAGCCACTTTCTGGAAATACTTTTATGTCCTGTTTTCTACTATATGCATTTGTTATAATATGAAACTTGTTAGCCATAGGGGTGTTTTGAGGCATGGAGAACACTCTGTATAACCCTCTCTCTTTATGTCTTCCTGAAGCACCTACATACCTGGGCAGAAATGTAGGCATTCTATTTCATTGTCCCATTTCAGGTAAAACTTTGTGCAGGGTCATCCTGTTGCAAAGAAGCATCTCATCAGGGATTGGCAGAGATCATGAACTGAAAGTACCTCGAGACAGTATCCTGTTTGTATGTCTGTGTAAGAGTACGTTGGCAAAAGGACACAACAAGCAATTCACTTGTAGCATTCACTAAAAAATGACAGGGATAGTGTTTGTTTGAGGTGGGAGGGGGGATTTACATCAACAATTTCTATTTTTATGAGGTTTCCTTTAGAGAGTTTGATTTGTGTGAATGATACTCAGAGAAAATACTTTAAATCCTAAATAACTTGATGGAAACTAAATTTGTTCTGAGGACTAATTTCATAATGCAAAGACAGAGGGGGTTTTATGCCAGGTGATAGCAGGATGTTACCAGTATGTACAGGCAAGCTCTTATAAAGCAAGGTGAAAACTTAGCACAAGCATTCATATAAGAAACGTGGAGCTGTACAAATTTGCTCTAAAGTGAAACTCTTGCCATTTCCCTGCTTTGCTATGAGCAGAGCAAAGTTATGTCTGCCTATTCCAGTGGGAGTGACATCTACATATCTTGCGAACTTCATTCTTTATGGGTAGCCCAAGCAACTCAGCCTACTGCTTGGGGAAATGGATAAACATTGGGACTCCTGGCTTCTGATCACAGCTCTTCCATTAGCTTCCTGATTTTGGGCAAGTCACAAGATCCTTCTGGACCTCAATTTCCCCAACTGCAAAATGGGGATAATAATACTTTAGTATACCTACCTCACAGGAGAGTTGTGAGGTTTACTTTATATTTCTAAGTGTTTTGACATCACTGGATGCCAAGTGCTATGTAATGCTAAAATAGTATTAACTAAATTAATCACTTGGAAACTACTTTTGCCCGGTTGGCAATTTCATCAACTAAAATAGCTGAAAATAATATTGTTGAAAGTAACACTAATAAACAGTTCAGTTGCCTCAGTGAAGATATGCAATTTCAGCATTTTCAAATGCAAACACATTCTTTTGCACAGATTCAGAAATTACCTTAGAGACAGATTCTCTCAACAAAGATACTAATCTGTCTATACAAATAAGAATAAGAAAATACACAAGCAAATCTAGGGGTGGATTTTCTAAGCTTGACCTCTAGGATTAATCTCAATAGTTTGTTTCAAGCATGAGTAATTTTGAAAGAGCAGCATTCTAAACCAGATCTATTTTTATCTCTTGAGCACTTAACAGTACGTGAACAAAAAAATCACCTTGATGATTCAGACCCAGCTAAAGGACATGTAGAGAAACCCTCTTAGATGATGATAAGGGAAAATGTTTTATTTTCTTCCTGAAACTAAGATGTTGCTATCAAACATTTTGTTCTGTATTGAAATAATTTCCATGTTATGAAAACCACTAGATCAGCAAGATAGCACAACTCTTGATATAGCTGCATCAATATCTTACACACCACCAGGTTCTGAACTAAAGCTGACTAAAAGATACCATTATATGCAAGTGTTGGTATTTTTATGACAGTGCCCTATTAAAAATTGTTTAGCCAGATTCAACACTGCATGGCAATGCCTTTAGCTTATGGATTTCTAGATTGTACTAAAAATACATGTGATCTACTTTAACACAATTAATGTCTATAGGTGTAGCATAATAATTTTTAGGAGCATACTTATGAGAGTTCAGCTTTGACATGTTCCTAGGCAGCAGACAAACAAAGCATTTGAGTAATACTTAGTGTGTTTGAAATAAAGAGAACAGATTTTCCCCTGCACTCATGTTAGGGAAAAGCAGATAGAGAACAGAATGTGTGGAAAAGCAAGAAACAACACTGCCATAGTTTGTACTGCCTACTCAGAGGCTGCAGGTCCATCCCAGTGCAGGATGCAGATGCAATTGGCCCTGGGCACCTCACTGCACCTCCCTGACAAGCTGGTGCCTGGGGAGGGTGGGAGCACCAAACTCAAGGGAGGGGAGCATCTCTCTGACTCTTCCTGCTTGAGCTTTGCTTATGGAATTGTAGCATTGGGCTCAGGGCATTTGTTCCACGCTCGTGTCTATGTAGTTTGTGAGTTGCTGGAAAAACACATCCACATAAGTAATGTGTAATAGCTTGTGACCATTGGCTTTTAGTTAATGGCACAGAAGGGACATTTCTGAATTTTTATTTCAAAGGGGGAAAATACACCAAAAAAAAAGGTTGATTACAATATGTAGATTTCTTCTCTTCCCTCCTTCCCCCTCAAATATAATTCATCTATAGATGTAACTAACTCTTTCCAAATAGAAAAAAAACAACTTCAAAAAATCAGATTTTGAACTGGAAAAAATGAGGAGTTGATTTCTCCCAAATTTTTGTGAATGCATTCTGATGTTCTCTTTAACTAGCTCTGCATTTAGAACATCAGCTAGTAGGCATTTGTAGACAGTCTTACCAGAAGTGAAGCAAGCATCGATAAAAAGAGTCTTAAATCAATACAGGTCTCCCTAAATTGAGTGTTCTTTAGGGGTATACCTAAGAGAAATTTGGCTCTGCATTTATTTGGCAAACTGGATTTTTAACCTCAGATGCTTGCTGTTGTCAGCCTACCAATCTAGCCAGCACACACTACTCTTTTTTAAAAAAATTTTCATCCCTCTTTGGAGATTTTTTAAGCTTCAATTTATTTCTTAAAAAAACCCCACAATTTGTTTCCTCAGTTGGTCAGAACATTTCACATGGAATTTGTCCTTGACATTGGCACTGCTCTGGAGAAAAGTATCAGTAATTTGAAATGTGTGTTTTAGGGTTTTAGCTGCTTTAATGTGATGAGGCTCCAATGAAGTTGTTACAAATATTTCATTTATTGGTGATAAAGAAAAATCCCTGTAGTTTAAAGGATGTCCCCGTTTTAGCCAGTTTCTACTGCTGCTACCACAAATGTAAAATGATGCCACACAAGCAGTTTGAGGCCTTTTTGTCTCAAAGTTGCTTTTTAATTTCAGATAAATACACAAGAGTATATATTATTGCTGAAAATAGGTGTATTTTCAAGTTCCCCATTATATGGGACTTAGTTTTTAAACTAAAATGTGAAGTTACATATGTCTGAGAGAAGCCTTATAACTAGAAGTATTACCTACATTTTACCTTTTTGTATAACGTGAAATTTAGATTATACGTGGGTTGCATACCTGTGACACTCTAGCAGGTTGTTTGGGGGTTTTTTAAGAAAAAAAACAAACAAAACCTAGTTAAAAGACTGCAAGTTAAAAGCTTTTGGAAATGTCAGACTTCATAAATTAGTGCTATTTTGTCCTGCAGTCATGTAGAATATTTTTTTCCTAGTAAGGATCCTAAGATTTGTCCACTGAACAGTATGCAATAAATCATCAACACATGTTTTTTTGAAGTTATGTAGATTGACATGTACTTTCCACTTGCCTTTGCCAACATATTTTAAAACTTGATGGAACTATCCCCATACAAAAATCATTCTTTCAGATATCACTCCACTCCCAACTGGGCTTCAACCCATACCTGCAAAAGCAGTGCCGTCCAGTCAGTTTGCTGTCACTGAAGTGCTCAGAGGGCTGTTTGAGATCTTAGATATAGGGATGATGGATTGTTTTTCTAGGATGAATTTCAAAGGGACAATCGTGTGCAGTTACTAGCTATAGATGATTGATATAAATGTTTACCCCTGTATGAAGTATTTTACAGTTTTACTTGCAGATGTGTATTTATCTTGAGTTATACTTGACATAGAGTTTCTTTCTTTTTTTTTTTTTTTAATACTATGTGTGTATTTTGGAAAACTTTTTAGATGTTAAAATTTTTGAATGGTTACAAATATTTCTTATAATACTGAATTGTTATCTTATCTGGAAACTCTTTGCAGTAACTTTTTTGTATATATTTGAGGGCCTTTTTAAAAAAGTATTGTTTGTTTTTTGGCAAAGTTTTTACAATTTGGAAGCTTTCAGAAGGGCCTTCCTCTCAACTAGGATACTAACAGAGGTAAGAGTTTTCTTAAGTATTTTGCAGAACTAAGGATGTATCCTCAAGAAAATATTTATGGAAATAATTTACTTTTTTTTTTTTACAATGCTTTTGTCTGTATAAAGTATGCAACAGAACTACATTAAGAAGGAAATATTGTCTACATAAAATATTATATGAAAGTTGGTACATAATTCTGACAAAAAAACCTTGCAATTCTTTAAGCCATATTGTTTTTGTTATCCTTGGATGAAAATATCAGTATTAAGTAACCAGTATATTATTCAAGTGCTTAGACTTATATGAAAATGCTTATACAGTTTATTTATGTGTATTTGGGGAAGGATTGCTAGAAAAGCTATCACTAGACATGTAGCACGTG